CATATGTGCTCCAGTGTTGCGGGTTGCGGGTGTGCCTACCCCGTTTCGCCCTAAGGCGCAACTGCCCTGACGTAGTCCCGCAACACTTAGGCCCATTGAGAGGAACAATCGGTACTTCACCACTAATTCCCCACGACCCTATCTTTAGAATACCAGGTGGCTGATTCACGCCACGCACTTTCGTGTAGTTATACTGTACCGAATGCACGGATGTGTGCGGGTGCGCCGTGCGAGTAGGAAACGAGCCCGCCCGCGTGCATGCGGTAGAGTATAACTAGGAAAGGGCACGGCGTGAATCAGCCACCTGGTACATACACTACGTACTCGCTCGTTATACTTCTTCTAGTCCCGTGCAGATCGAGGGCAGAGTGCAGCAGCACGCGGCGGCGCGGGGGCTGACGCCAGGCTGACGCCGCCGGGCTGACTCACCAGGTAATGCTCAGAGACAACACGTCTGGCCCGGGCCGCGGTACGGTGGGGGGCTCATATCCTCCGGGCTCTAGTCCTCCTCTAGGCGCACGTGAGGCCGGCTGCCAATAAATCGTCCAGGTGGTTGCGAATAGCGCGCCTCTGTCTCTCTCATATGCTCGCGAGACCGCGGCCGTGTGGTCGCGGTGCGAACAGAGACGGAGAGCATACACCAAAGGCGTTGCGCGTCGCCCGCGCGCACGCAGCCCACGACGGGGAATGGATCAGGAGCTGAGATCTCTCCACTGCGTCACTTCCCCCCCCCCCGCCCCTCTACACCGCCTCCTTCCACTGTCTTTCGGACGAGACTGAACGAAAAACTATCAGGGACACACGTAGTGGTGAACCTCGTCGGATTGGATATTCCGCCCACATGCGAGCAGCACTGTGAAGAGAGAAAAAGAAAAAAAAAACCTCACGTATGTATTTGTGTTAGTGGTGTTCGTAAGTCAGATAGGAAAGGGGGGAGAGAGGGGGAGGGGAGAAAGACAGCTGGAGAGAGAGAAAGGTGGTGGGTTCAGACAAGAGTCCATGGTTTATGGTTCCCTGGGCCCGCGCGCGCCCGCCCGGTCCGCGGCGGCTCGTCCAAAACATCCTCCACGTCACAAACCCTCCCGCCTGTTCCGTTGTGTTTGATTAACATCTACTCTCCGTGTTGACATCTTATAAACTCCGGCGGGCGGGCAGCGCGGGCCGCGCGTTTGGTCGCCACCATCACGACGGCCTCCCGCGGGGCGTCCGCGGGTCGCGCAAGTATGACGCCGCGGCCGCGCGGACCCCGCGCCATACCCGTCCAGACAGTGCTCGCCCGGTCCCATGTCGCAAGAATCGAGCAACGTCGCTACAGGCCGCAAAAAAACCCTTTTTGGAAACCAAAATTTTAGTGAAGCTAGATTGCTTTAAAATGGAGATCTTCGAAGCTTGGGAAGAGAAGTGACTCGATAATAATGCAGTCGAGCGTCTGGCGCCCCGCACGACCAGGACGACGCCAGCCGCATGGAAAGCGGGCGGCAGCGGCGGGCGAGCACCGCGCGGACACGTCGCCGTCATCGGGGAGACGGATGGCGAGGACGACGTCAACGCGACCTGGCTGGACGTCTCCGGGACTGACTCACCGGGGCGGAGGCGGAGGAGAGGGAGGCTGCCGAACGGCCCGGGACAAGGCGTACGTGCGCGCCGTCAACACAACACGGGCGGCGGCGGCGTTTTCGTTTTCGGGTCACGGCCAGCAACCGGGGAGGAAACGTTTGATGACCAAAAGATGTCAGTCGACACAAACGCAACGGAGCGCCCCGATAACGCGCATTTGGAGGGTTAAGGGGGAGGGGTGAGGGAGGGACCTGACTGGCTTTCCTGCTCTTCGTCGCGCGTTTTCTCTCTCTCTCTCCGGCTGTGTTTGTATGCGCATGAGTGTGGGTGTTTTACCCCATACCGGCGATGACGATAAGCAGGGCAACTATTTGCAGTCGCCAGACGTATGACGCCACCACCGGACCTGCCAATAGGAGGCAGCGCCCCGCCCTGCCCCGCTCTACCCCTGCCCCTGCCCATGCCCCGCCCCGCCACCGGTGCATTAGGCGGGCGTTTAGACACTACGGGGCTGGGCCGGGACCATACGTCTTCCCCGCGACACAGATCAAGTGCAATCAATCTCCATACTCACCTGGCCGGACGGGACCGTGCGCGCCGCGCTAGGGCCCCGCCACGACACCGCCGCCGGCAACCCCCCTCCCCCCCCCCTCTCTCTCTCTCTCCACTCCAGGACTCCAGTAACATCGCCGGCGCTGCACTACGTAACGCCGTAGAGGTGGGCAACACATCGCGCACCACCACCCGGCAGCACACCAGACAGCCGCCCAGCCGCGCAGCGTCCGCTGGATCGATTGATCGATCACTGTGATCGTGAGCAGCGAGGGGGGGAAGGGAAGGGAGTGGACCCCCCGGCAGGTCTCAAGGACCCCCTCCCCCCTCCCGCTCCGGACTCTGTTGTATTGAAAAGCAAAGCATTCACAGTCACAATGTCGCTTCGCACGCAGCCCGCCCGCCGCCACCGCGCCATGGGAACTGGAGCCGCTGCTCATGCGCAGAGGATCAATCAACGCGGAAAAGACACGCCACCCCCCTCTCCTTTAAACCACCTGCCCAGTGTGCTCGGGCTCACGACGACGACAACAACACAACACCGCGATATGTCGGAAGTCATTCGAATGTAGATCGCGAAACATTCTAATTAATCGTCCCGCTGCGCCGCGGCGGCTCAGTCGTTATGTTGCGGACATGACAGGCGGGGCGGGGCG